TTTCTAGCATATGTATCTCAGAATGTATCTTTTAAATGATGGTCTAGGCCAACTCCCTGTAAGTTTTTCCAGATTGTCACAAGCTCTGATGTTACAGAAGGGGCACATATGAAAATATAGCTAGCACACAAGCTAAACCCTATCCATTGCCTATCTGTACAGCACACCATAGTGATGTAGAAGTGATACAGATGTCCACTTACTACAGATTCATATTTAATAGAAGCACATCTGAGTTTTGAATGCTTGCAAAATAATATGCAAAACTATCTATTGCCAAGCTACTTGGATTAAAGGAATGTTAAAAGGTTCTTTTTGTATACATACGAAAATTGTACTTTTAAAAGCAAATAGAAAAAGACATAGCAGGAAACAATTAAAAGCACAGATTCTGCAGCATTCAAACAATAAGCTGAGTATAAATCAAAGAGAAATGTTTCATAAGTTTCCCACTGCTTTACTGGAAAATAGTTTTGTGCTCAGTATTCCAAATTATAGAGAAGTTTAAAATGCAGACTTCTGTGACATGAACATTTTCAAGAAGATAAATCATTTGGACAGCACTCATTTAAACGTGTCTATATTTGTCACTTTAAACAGAAGTTCTCAATATTTTTAATTTGTATCATCTCATGTTCTGTATAAACTCTAAATATATTCCTAAGTGATACATCAGCATTGTACTTAATTGGGAAATAATTACTTCACCAAATACTTGATTTAAAACCAAAAACTGGAATTTCTAATGCAAATATCAAAATACTAAAACACCTAGGGTTACATTGTAAAATTTAGGGGAAAATGTATATTTTCATTTCACCCAACAGATTCAATTTAACAGATTTTTAATAAATTTATTCCTAATTTTCCAGAATATTGCTATAAAAAAGGAGAAACACATAATTTATGAGTTTGTCAAACAAGAAAGGACAACGAAAAGCACACTTGTGACAAGTAATATTTATTTTATTTGCATAGTTTAATAATATCAGAAGATCACAACTCAATTTGTGTGTGTTAAATAATTTTAATTGGTTTTTATTATTTTTTCAATTGCAAAGACTTTACATTATTAAGTCCTATTTTCTCCCAGGATAAATGCCTTATCTGGGAATAAATATCTACCCTGACAACATGTTTCTGTCATTTTTCTCCCCCCGATACATGCTTAAACAGATCAAACGAGCACAGTCTTTCAAATTCCACCCAAAATGGACCAAATGAAGATCCCATTGTATTGATTTCCCTTCGATATGATTTAAAATGTTTAAATTACCACTCAAGATAGAAGTGCAATACCTGACATTTAATAATTTGGCAGTCTTTTAGATATAGGTGAATTAATGCACTGTTATTTGAACTGAAGCATCTCCATAATATATATGTAACAGATTTTGTATGATATAAAATTTCACAGCAAGCTATTTGAATGTTTATTTTAAAAAATTCTCAAAATGATATGAAAACTCATTTACTGTATAAATAAAAGCACTTATCCATTATGAGTGTGCATTATTTATTCATTTACATAATCACAAGAAAAGTGCAGCATGGATTAAGCAATACAAACTACCATATGAATTGTTAATCACAACAGTATTTGTCTTTAATAATGGGTTCTGTTTGCAACAATCATTTTTATACAGCATCAAAAAAGTGAATTATACCTTAGTTTTGAAATTCTGGTAAAATATTTTCTATGCCTATTATTTCTAGAAAAATGTCTGTTCAATGAAAAGTGTGTAAAAAATGTCTGACAATCAAGTTCAATTTGGGAGAAGTGGGACATAAAGACTTTTTTTTTTTTCAAAAAGTTTGGGAAAATGAATCTTACAAAATTAAACATGACTTTACACACCCCTTGAGCTAGTCCTTGGGCTAATATAAATTACCAAGCTCCCAAAGGAAATGACACCTTTACAGCCCTTACCCCAAGATCATCTTTTAAAAAGGATGGCTTAGGACACTGTGCAAATTGGGCTAATGTAAAGTGTCATTTTGCAGAAATTTGTATGAACATCATATGACCGTGTTAAAGTCAGACTTGAGCTATGAACTTTCAAGCATTGAAAATGTTCACAATTAGCATCAGAACACTATAATCTCCAATCCTGTAAATCAGAAATTCATGTTGTTGAGTTAGAATATCATCATTACACAGGCTTAAATGACTTGTGTTTGCTTTGTCCTACAACACATGTAATTGTAATTCTACATGTTTCCACAGGTCAGCTATTATCCTCACATTATTTAATGTATAACCATGAGAAAAACAAAAGACCAAAGTATATGAATCTAGTGAACTTGAAACCAAAGTTTATAACATGTTCAATATCAAGATAATTATATATTTCTCTATGGAGTTTTCAGGAATAAAACCTATTTCAAACTCTAAGTTTAAAAATATAGCTCCAGGGAGGGGTGTAATGGCTCAATTGGCTAATACGCCCTTTGCAAGCACCAGCATCCCATATGGGTGCCAGTTTGTGTCCCAGTTGCTCCACTTTCCACTTAGCTCCCTGCTTACAGCCTGGGACCTTAGAATCCTACATCCATGCTGGAGATTCAGAAGAAACTCCCAGCTCCTGGCTTCAGATGAGCTCCAGCCAAATTGCAGCCATTTGGGGAGTGAACCAGCAGATGCGAGATCTTTCTCTTTGTCTCTCCTCTCTGTAAATCTGCTGTCACAGTAAAAATACATACATATATTTTGACAATGTCTTTTTTCAAGATACTTCCATCCATCCTTCATATTTTAAGAAACATGGAACTTTGTATTAATTGTATATTTTAATGTAGTCAGTTATACTGAAAATTTGTCAATCTATGAAAGTGTTTACTCCCAAGCTGATACTCAGCTAAAGCGTAAATGTATGTACATAGTTTATTAAATATGCATTAAGAAAGACTTGGTTAGGCTGGTGCCATGGCATGAAAGACTAAATTTCTGTAAATGATGCAGGAATCCCATATGGATATTGGTTCAATTCCCAGTTTCCAGCTCCCTGTTTATGTGCCTGGAAAGCAGTGGAAGATAACCCAAGTATGGGGGCCCCTGATCCCACTTAGGTGATCCTGAAGAAGCTCTTGGCTCCCAGCTTCAGATACGACCACAGGCCTTTAGGAGTGAACCAGCAGAAGTAGGCTCTCTCTCTTCCACTCCTTTCTGTGTAAGTATTTCTTTTTTTTTCTTATTTTATAATTTTTAGTCACAGAACTTTATTATTTTTAAACAAATTGTAAGTACCCAAAGATTAAAAGTTCAAAACCCCAAAATAAACATTGCTGCCACAGTTGCAGTTTATGTGCTGTTTAGTCTAGGGGTCAAACAAAGAATTCTGCTTAACAGCAAATAAAGGTGTCTCCAGACCAGAGATAAGTTAAGGACCTTGTTCCTGAAGTTAAGCACCGCTTTTCCTAAAGGAAATAGCAGTCAAAAATACATATCTACAGTGTACTACCACTTCCTGAAATATCTACTTTCAGTATTATTACCAAAGGTCTTACTAAGTAGAAAAGTAAACTACTTACTGGAACAATATGTGCCATTGGTGGCTTAACAATGACTTATTGAATGATGACTATCTTAAAATTCACCCCTACTTCTTATTCTAGTAAAAACTTATGACCATAAGTAAACCTCTTTGGCCACTACTTTGGTAACTAATTCGAACAGAGCTAGCAAGAAAGTTTGTTCATAAAACTTACAAAATAAATACTTGGGCATGAAAAAGCCCTATTTGGGCCAAGCTATCTAGTTATCTATGCTAACTATCCCAAAACCTAGCTCTGGAAAAATGTGAAAATTTACAGAAAAATAAAGAGGTCAGCAACCAAACACACTGCATGCCACTCCTTTTGGATTTCCTCCTGGTTGACATTTGGTAAAGACTTTTTCAGCTGGGTTCACTTTTCCTTGATCCTCTACTTTCTGGGTGGCTGCTTGAAAAGCGTCTTGGTCACCCTGGAACTAGTGGGGCCCAACAGCAGTTTTCATCCAGGAGAATTGGGACTCCAATAAACAGAGTTACATTGATAATATCTTAATCTGAGACATCGTCAAGATGTCTCAGGCGTGCCCTACTGCTATTTCCATGAGCAGAATATCGGAACAGTTTTGCCACTTAAAACTTCAGGAGCAATCCTCTCATTCCTAAAGCAAAGAAGTCTCTCCAAAACAACCTTCAAGCTTTCGGATTGTGGCAGCATATCCAAGGGAATATCACATACTGTACAGTTAGAGGTTTCTACAGATACCCATTCTTGCCAAGCTGTGTAGATAGACCAATTAAGAACAGATGTGAATACAAGATCAAACTCAAAGTTTAGAGTTTTGAGTTGCCTCCCAGTTTCAAGATCCTTCCATTCCTTCATTGTTCAGTTTATGATCCACCCAGCTACAATGTCTTAACATAGTAAGTATGTACTTCTACACACTGATGGCTTATCTTGCCTGGTGTTTTCAAATGGATTATGGTCAAAGAGCTCACCAGAACAGTCTGTTCTCAGCCTGCTGCTCCTGCAGTTCATCCTAACTCTGACCTTAAAAAAAAGAAACAGACCAAAAGAGAAAGGAAGGAAAGAAGGAAGAAGGAAAAAGAGAAAGGAAGGCAGGAAGGAAGGAATGAAGAAAGGGAGAGAGGGAGGGAGGGAGGAAAGAAGGTAAGAAGGGGAGGAAGAAAGATCTTGCCAAGAAAAGAAACTAAGCTTATTGTCATGGTTCCATGGGATAGTAAATGTTAAATACATGCTAATAGTACTTTGTAACTTCTATAGTTATATCCCCTCAAAAATGGGGCCACAAATTACCCACCACCATCTGCACCCCACATTATGCAGATATACTCAAAATACTTACTAGTTTACTAGTAGTCAAGCCACTAGTTCATGTTGTTAAATAATTTGGAATTTAAATAGAAAGTAAGTTACTTTATTTTTAAGTTTATAAACATAGCATTACATTAAAACAGCAAAATTATTTAAGATAACAAATTTAAACATTGACACTTCATCAATAAATTTAATTTAAAAAATCTAAAATAAGGAAAAATGTCATTTTTTATCAACATCTTCACTACTGAAGCAGACTGCAGAGAAAAAAAACATGTTCAAGTTTTGCTTTCACAGAAAATAAAATGCATTATAATACACAAACCTCAAAAAATAAAAAGGAGAAACAATGCCTCTGCTGTCTTATTTCACTATAAAGTAGGAGACTTTTAGGAACTGTAATTTTCTTTCCCAAAGCAAATACACATAAGATTCTATCACCTGACTAAGTCACCAAGGAACAAAGTCCATGGCAATGATGATACAAAATCCAGGCTTGACTTTCAAGTTGAACCTCAAATACTAATGACTTCAAACAAAATTCAAAGTATAATTTATAACTTTCAGATAAGTATAAGTAAAGTCTTCCCTAGGCATTTATTATTTGGCAGTTTTAATAATATAGCATATAAATAGATTTTATAGGCTTTCGTTAGTAATAATGAAGGCTAAGAAATATTTATATTGATTGAGCACATATTAATATTTTATAACAGTACACAGGTATTTGCAAAGTGTTATATTTCCAAAAACAACAATATCCCAAATTTTTAAAAAATCTCTTACTGTTTTGAATTCTGAGCTAAAGTAAAAACAAATAATATGGGAAGATAGTTAACAACAGGAACAAGCAAAATCCTCAAAGCTCTAATTCAAAGCAATTCAGTTAATTTCTTCAAAGCAAAAGAATTCACAGTGTTTCTTCAACTTTTGATTTTAGCCATTCATATTGCCATAGTACCCTGCAAAAACTGAGACATAAGTAAGATTAGCATGTGGCAAGAATTAAATCACTTTTATTTGGTTCTGATTAAATATATTCTGTGAAAGTTGTTTCTCAAGAAAAATTTGAGCCATTACCTACTAGCACCATAATGTTGTTCCTTTATTACCCAACATAAATAAACATTATGTAACAGATGAGAAATACACATTTTTATATGTCACACATTAAATGTTTTATCTCCCTTAGAAAAAAAGATCACCACAAGTACACTACGCTTTACAAAAAATAAAATTGGTGCTTTTAATGCTTAAAAATTACTTGACAGAAGAACCTCTAAAACCTTGCTATAAAACTTAAAAGAACATTCTGATTTAACTAAAGCCAAATGGTATATGTATCAAATGTATTAATATTGACTCTTCTGTTTACATTAAACTGAAAAATACAGAAAATTAATATGCATAAAATGTCATTTCCAGTATTGGTACTTTGGGTTACTTAATTTTATTTTTTACATCTAAGAACACACCAATGTCACAGTAGAAACCCCAAGTCTTAAGCAGGATACTCACATCATCATACATGAAATTCACAAACCCTTGCTGTAGATGATCTCTTCTCCTAAAAAATTCTTCAAACAAAAAAAATATTGTCACATTATCATGGTTTGTATCACTATAATGTCAACCTATTTTAAATCATTTTTAAAGACTGATTTTATTTTTGTTTGCAAGGCAGTTACAGTGAGGAGACACAAAGATATCATCCACCCACTGATTCATTCCCCAAATGGCCACAATAACCAGCGCTGATCCAATCCAAAGCAAGGAGTCAGGGGTTCTTCCAGGTCTCCCACGTGGTTGCAGAAGCCCAAGGACCTGAGCCACCATCTGCTGTTTTCCCAGGCCACAAGCAAGGATTCATCACATAAGTGTCTCAAACCTCTATCCAAATGGGATGTCAGCATTGCAGACAGAGACATTGCCTATTATACACAAAACCAGCCCCTACCATTTCAAATCTTAATTTCAAAAATTTGATATCCTGTCCAATTTAATTTTAAGTGATTTACCACCCCAGGCAACTTAAACATGAAGAAAAAATTTCCAAAACTAGGCTATATACCTAAATTTTAAAGCCTTAAAATTCTGATTAGCCTAAACAGAAACTACAGGGGAGAACTACATTATTATATATTTGCTGAAGAAAATGAAAAATGTGGTGCAAAAATGGCCACGTTGTATTGTGCCAACATTTAAATGTTGAATACCTGTCAAGGCTCGGAGCTTCACACAACAAGCAACATAATCATCAAAGAAAATCCTGCCATTCTTGCTGTAGCGTTTAACAATAGTATTTATTGTTTGAGGACTCAACCTATAACCTAACAAAAGAAATTAACAAATTAAAGTCTTCAAAGCCAAATACCATTAGAAGACTGCAACACTATATTAATAAAGTTGGAAAATGAATTAAATAAAATTAAAATTAAAATTCATTTCAATAAAATATATGTTAGAAGTAAAATATATTTATACAGGAACATACCAAAAAGTCTGTAGAAAAAAAAGAAACTGAAGATAAGTTTTCTTTGATACCAAAAAACTTAGAAATCGATGCATACTCTGTCATAATACACATTTTCTGTGACAATTGGGTCTTCATTATTAAAAATGATCAAATCGAGGCTTTATTATTATGCAAATAATTCCAGCTATGAATAAAACTCAAAGTTTTTGAACTTAAATAATTATTTTTATATATTTAAAATAATTCAAATGGTGTCTAGAGAGAACTGCTTAGGTTTTTCATGTATTAATATTTTGATTCTGTGACTTTTTATGGTTCAGAGGGGGAAAAAGGCATGAAAGTTCAAATGCTCCCCTCCACTTAAAAAAAAATTCTTCCAAAAAGCAGAGTACCAATGAAGGAGAAACATGTACAAAGAGAAAGAACTCTTCCATCCTTTGGTTCACTGCTCAAGTTGCCACAACATCCAGGGTGTGGCCAGGCCAAGCAGGAGCTCGGAAATCAATTCGATTCTCATGGAATCAAGTATTTAGGGCATTCTTTACTGCATTCCCAGGTGAAGTGGAAGACAGCTGGATCAGAACTGGAACAGAAGGGTATTGAACATGGGGCAGCTAAACCCATTGGACCACAACACCAGATTCTCCATCTGCTTTAAGAGTATTGATACAGGAGCCTATGTTGTGACATATCAACTAAAGCCACCATCTTTGATGCCAGCATCCCATGTAGGTGCTGATTTATGCCCATGCTATTCCACTTCCAATCCAGTTTCCTGGTAATGACATAAACAACTGAAGACTGCACAAGTGTTACAGCTCCTCTTTCTACCCAAGCCCCTTTTTTGCAATGTCATTGCAGAAGCTCCCCCCCAGAACCTTTAAATTTTAAATTTTATTTCATCTGAACCTTCCTCCTGTTTTAACCTGTCTTTCTCCAAAGACCTCTAAGAAGTCAATCAACAACCTACTTCATAAATGCATCACTTCATTGTTTAAAAATAAGTTAACAATTCAATGCTAATAAATGTTTTTAAAGTACTACTTTTCCAGATTATCTTTATATCTGTTTAGTGAATTGCACTGGTTTGCTGCTTCTAAGTAAACCCTGGGTTGCGGTGGGGCGGGGGGTGGTCTTTGACTTGGGATCTAGCGTGCTTTGAATCTACTCAGACTCATCTTCTTGAAAATGCTTTTTCTAGTACACCATTTCATTTTAAAGTGCTATCTTCCCACGTTGGGGTATTTTGATATACATTATGTGTTCTGCCATATATAAAAAAGAAAGAAAAATCTATTGCAAACTGAGATTATGATACAAACGTTTATGAACAATTGAAATAAGCCTTTATTCCAAATTAGAGATCTTAGCACATTAGCCAAAAAATATCATTGGTGAGCACTAACAATTACAGACATAAATTTACTCAGAAGAAATTCAGAACACAAAAATATATTGCATATTGACTTCTGAAAGATGATTACTATGAAAATTCCTTTGGTAAGGTCTGCAGTCAAAGTCTGTCTATCACCTTGAAATCAAATGAGGGAAGAGCTGTTAAAAAATATTCCTAGGTTACTTAGCAAATGAAAATAGTTCAGATTCTTTTGATCAATGTACCCAGAAAACCTGTATAGGTTGCAAAGAATGTTAATATTCTTACCCATAATGGCAATGGATTGAGTCAACTCATGATGTTCCACTGTGCCACTTCGGTCTTGATCAATGGTCATGAAGTTCTCCTTCCATGCGTTAAGAGCCGCCCAAAGTTCCTTGAATTCATTAAATCCCATTTTTCCGGTGTAATCTCTCTGATATTTTTATTAACAAAAATAAACTTTTGATAGATAAGAGAATCTACCTGATCCCAAATTTCCAATCATGAACTAAATATTAAGAATGCTTCTGTAGAATTAGCTAAACTCATTATATGAGTAAGCTTCTGTAAAAAAAGTAAAAGTCTGGAATTCAAATAGTCCTAAAATATAGTTTACTATAAGCATTTGTAATAGAGTTTATTTACTATCCAGAAGGTTAAGTTAATATTCTAGTACTCTATTTTTTTATGTAAGGATACATCCAACATGGCAATCATAATTCTGCATGTTTCCAAACTGAAGGCTGTGAAAATCAATGAAATACACATTTAATTTGGAATTTGCTCAACTAATTAAACCCCAAATGTAAAATCATGATGATCTCTATTTTAAAAACAAATAGTTACAAATTGTCAAAAACATCCAGTCATCACAGCTAACAAACTTTCATGAGATGTAAAACAAAGAAAAACCAACAATGAAAGCAGGAAACAATGGAACAACACCTTTAAAATCCTCTGTGAAGATAATCCATCATCTAGAATTGTAACCTGGACAAACAGTTGTGGAGGCACAATGAAAGCATTTTTAGATACACAAGGTCTCAGACATGTATCTCCCAAACACTCTTACAAAGAAGGTACTTAATCATACAAAAATCATAAAAGCAATAAATGCACCTAAGGGTGTGCAGACAAAGGTACCCTAAGTCACTGTTGGTAAGAATGTAAGCTTGGAAAATCATATGGAAGACAATATGGAGATTCCTCAGAGATTTGAAAATAGGTGTACTGTATGACCCAATCATCCCACTTCTGGGAACCTACCCAAATGAAATTAAATCAGCATAGGAGAGCATTATTGATAAATCCATATTTATTGCAGCTAAATTTACAATAATTAACATCTGGAATCAACCCAGATGTCCATCAATAGGTAACTGGATAAAGAAATTATGGCATACACACACACACACACACACACACACACACTATGGAATACTGTACAGCCATAAAAAGAATGAAACTGTGTCTTTTGCAACAAAATAGATGCTACTAGAAGCCATTATGCTTAGCAAAATAAGCCAAATCTGAAAACAACACATATATGGGTTCTCTGGTAAGTGCCAGTACAAAAATGTACTGAAATAGCTTTTGGATCAGATTGTCATTTTTAGCCAATGTTTATACTCCAGTAGAAATGCAATTTCATGGTATTTTTACTTTTTATTTGTGGAATATTATAACTAGTGGCAATGTTAGCCTGTGGATTAAAACTAGGGCTGTATAAATACTGTCGAAGAGGGGGAAGAGAGTTAGGAGTATGGGTAGGAGAGAAGCAGAAGAGTGAGAAGTGTGTCTGTCATCTGAAAGCGGTGTCTATGGAATGCATGGAATCATTTCTCCTTATATTAATCAAAAGAGGGAATATACGTAAATAGTTGTTTTACTGAACTTTTCAGGAAACACAACCATTATAGACCTAAACAAAGAGAACACAAATGACATGAGAGGTAAACGATGTTTAGACCATGAGTCCTGAAGTCAGAGAATCTATGAGAGGGCAGAAGGTGCAGTGAGTGCCTCATGCAGAGGCCTAAAATCGCATGGATTCAGTACAGTATTGTGCATACAGCCAACTTGCTTTTCCTTTTCAGAACCCCCCAAATTTCTGTTTCAGTTCAAATCAGTTCAATCTGAGATGTGGAGTTGATGATTGGAGAGGATTCATTATATGTCTTCTTTAGCTCTTCATAAAACTGAAAATATGATCAATCTAATAAAATAATTAACTATTTGAGGATATTAATATGCAACTGATAATTTTTAGATATGAAGATGGAACTTCAGCTGTTTGATAAGCCCCATCATCCAGAGTTGCCTATTGAAATATCCATAAAGGATATGATATAGTGTTAAAGATATGCTTCAGAATAACGGAATCAAGAGAGAAGCAAAAGGGAGCTGCAGGATGATGATGAAGGAAAGCTACTATGAGAGCCAGGCATAAAAATCTAACATGTTGGAAAGCTCGATGAGGAGAAAGGTGAAAAGCCTGGCAAACATTCACTTTTGGAAAAATGAAAATACAAATGAAAATTTATTAGAATCTCATGACACATCATGAAGGCCATTTAAATATGGATGGATAAAATAAGAGTAATTTTAGAAAAGATGAATACTGCTCAGCCAACCAAAACTGCTGTGTGACTATGGGCAGGAAAGGATGCATTCTTCTATGAAGTACAGGGGATGGGTGAGTTAAGGTTGAGAGTTAAATCCTCATCTTACACAGCATGATGTCAGTTATCAATCATGAACATCTCTAAAGGTAAAAATAGGGAAACAAATTTCAACAGAATCAACAACAGAAAAACTGGAAGCGGTATCCCACAAAAAATGATAATACTGGCAAGATGGGAATGTATAATTCATAACAAGCTTATCCAAACCAAGGGCATGTATAAATGTATTTTTTTAAAATATTGTAAGTATAGAAACAAAAAATGTTAAAAATGAATGAGCTTCCTATTCTAATTTTAATAGGAGGGGCAAAACAACTCACGGGAGTAAGTTCCACTAATTCCAGATTGTGTCAAACATCTCTGAAGTTCTTCAGCATCCACTTCGCCATCCTGTTTAAGACCAAACATATACGTAATGAATAATTTTATAAAAAATGTATTAGAGGGCCCAGTGTGGTAACTTAGTGGCTAAAGTCCTCACCTTGCATGCGCCAGGATTCCATATAGGCACCGGTTCTAATCTCGGCAGCCCCACTTCCCGTCCCTCTCCATACTTGTGGCCTGGGAAGGCACTGAGGATGGCCCAAAAGCCTTGGGACCATACACGCATGTGGGAGACCCGGAAGAGACTCTGGGTTCCTGGCTTCGGACTGGCTGAGGTCTGGCCATTGCATCCACTTGGGGAGTGAATCAGAGGATGGAAGATCTTCCTCTCTGGCTCTCTTCCTCTCTATATATCTGACTTTCCAACAAAAATAAATAATTCTTTTTTAAAAATGCATTAGAATGGTATTTGACCATTGAAGACATCAAGAAACACGAATGTTTCAAAGCATTATTATCAGCTACAAAAATCCAAAGATAACTACTGGCTCCTAAGAAATATTACAGGACATAATATAAAGAAAAATGTGCACTAGTCCTGAAAAATGACTTAAACATTCTGTTATATATTACTTCAAAATATTTCACACTATACTTCTATTTAAAAGTTGCAAAAAAAATCTGAAATTCTGGCACAAATGCTCAAAAGCATTTTTGTTTATGCCCAGTTAACGGAAGGACACATGCAAAAGGAAACTTCATATTGAAGCTTCAGTGGAAAGGAACACTTTTTGTTGACTACCACCAACAAGTCACTAAAATACAAAATTTTTTCCTTCAGTCTAAATTGCTCTACTAAATACTTGGGTTTACCTTCTAAACACAAGCAGACTAGTGCATGTGAACTGGCTCAAATTGTAAATATCTCACAAATACAACATTATTACAGAATTCAAATAGGCTTTATAGTTTTACACAGGCCTGATATGCAGATGAGAACGATGAGGCAAGTGGTGCAAGCACAGGGTCATATCCTGTCTGTGTTAAAACTTTCAGCTTTTCATTAATGATTTTTGTACTAATTTGATTTTCAAATCTAACCTTCACAAATGTTTATTTATTCACCAGGCAGATCAACAGAGTTAAAGTGGGTAGATAGAAGAGGGAAGAGAAAAAGAACAGAAAAGGAAGCAAAAGAGCAAGAAGGAGACAGAGAAAGGAGGAGGAAAAGAAGAAGAGAAAGAGAGAATTCTACCTTTTATTCACTGGTTCACTCCCCCAAACACCTGCAACAGCCTGATCTAAGGTAGGCCCAAGCTAGAAGCCCACAACTCCCTCCATGGCTCCCACATTGATGACAGAGATGCAGCCACTGGAGCCAGCACATATGACTCTCAGCATGCACTCCAGAAAGCTGGATCAGAAGCAGAAGCTGAGAATCTAATCAGCCTTCTAACATAGGATATGCATATTCCAAACAGCAGCTTAATCCATTCCACCATGATACATGACCCTAAAAGCTTAAAGCATTCCATATTGTGATGTCTAAAGCACTTAATGTTTGTACCCATGGCAAGTATCTCATTGTCTTTAGGCTACTCTGGATTTGAGTCATTCAGCAATACAACACTTAATGATCAGGTCAAGTGGTCTGAGTTAGGGAGACTTCTTTGGCACCTACAGAAAACCAATTGTGAGAAAACATATGCTTTTCTAAATATTTCAAAGCCCTATAATTGTTTCTATTGCTTCTGGAATAGTTCCTACTTTTAAAATACATACAAAGCTAAATTATATACAGAAAATCCCAACCCTATAGTATATTTGGCACATTGTGCAGGAGCACAAACCAAGAAGGAAGGAAGAGGAAATAGGCTGCGGGGGAGCAATGCGCTTTTGAGACTTCACATGACAGTGGAATACAAGCGGAATACGGCTCCCCATTGAAGAAAGAAGGTGAGTCAATACATAGCGCAATATAATACACTGCTGACTGCTTTCTGAGGCTATCATTTTTACATAGCTGAAAACATTGAAAGCTGGACTAAAACACAAAACTAAGTCACACATCACTTTCTGATGGGATCACCATTGGAATGACATGCAACACAAAATATCTGATAATAAGTGACTATGGAAATATTTTGTATGTTTACAATGCTACCCTTTAAAAAAGAATTGTTATTTATTATAGAGTAATAAAGACAACAAAGGAGAGACCAAAAGCGAGAGTTCTTCTTCCAGGTTCCCACATAGGTACAGGATCCCACGTTACTTGTGCCACCCTCTGCTGCTTTCCCAGGTACATCCCCAGGGAGCTGGATCAGAAGTGGAGCAACCAGGACTTGAACCAGCACCCATATAGGAAGCCAGCACTACAGGCAATGGTTTAACGGGCTACACCACAATGCCTGCCTTTATACTATGTTTTCAATCATTAGAGCACACTCTTACGTATATAAAATGTTTACTATAAGACAATGTGCTGTGTTTCACTGGCAGCACCTTAACACACCTATTGTCTATCATGTGTCGATTACATAAGGAGACAATAAAGTTATTGAGCTGTAACATCTAGATTTGGCAAGTATATATAATCACAACGAAATGTGGTTTAGCATTGTACAGCTATAATTGTATTATTTTATTATGACTCATTTATATTGGTATAGATTTTACCATGATGTAATAATTATTCTCAAAGACAGGCTATCAGAAATATGTTATAATCATTTCAGCAAGTGACAAAATAAGGAAAAATATTTACAAACTGCACTGAATTAATATTTCATTACTTATCAATTCAGAAAAAAGCCGACACCTTATGATATTGTACTATTTCCAGGTTTGAATATTTACTCCACATTCATTTTATGCCAAATACAAGTGACACAAATTCATATAACACATACTCATATTTCACCTCATTTGGTATTTGACAAAAACTAAATTATAAAATTAAAACTACATAGAGTAAAAGAGAAAAAAATGTTCACTGACCACAGCAATAAAAACTCACAAAAATCACACATCTGAATTGCCAGTCTCATTCTTCTTAACAGTCACAGTAAAATCAGCTTTTTACACTTTTTATTACATACTTGCCATTACTCTGACTCCATACCAGGCCACTGATATAATATCTTCTTTATCTTATATTAAAAATTCAGATGATATAACTTCATTTGGGTAAATATAATGCTCAACATGAATAAATGTGTGACATTTTAAAATGATTTTGCATCATACTGTCTGACATACTTGTTTTAACTAATTTTTAATGGTACTGATGCCAAGTTAAAATATTGTTCCTTGAGTATGCACAGTTTTTCATAACATCTGTTAGCTTTCTTCAAATTTCCAATATACTACTTGTCTGTTACAAAAGTGTATTTAAGGTATTCATTCTTAGCTTGGTATTCTCAATCACTCAAAGGGAGTATAATGTTTCCAAATATCAAACGCAGTGGAAGAAAACAAAGAGTTTAGAAAAAGAAAATAATGAGGAAGAAAATATTATAATATGTAATTTTGCAATATCTGTAATTGCTAGCAAGAGAAAGCACTTACAGAAAAATTTCAGCAAGAGAAGTGCAGTAGGCATGGAAAAATCAGATTCTTTTACTATGAAAAACAACCCATCTTTTCCTTTGTCAAATGAACAATGTGTTATAATACTTGTTTAAATGAAATAATTATGAATTCCCTCCTATCCCAGAAAGAAAATTTGTCTGAATAAGCTTAATATATAAATTCTATATACCAGCAAGTTAAATAGTTGTGATTTCTTTTAAGTAGCAACCATTTAAAAAAGTTAATATGTAACAAGTTTAGTACCCACCTGTCCAGCAACAGCAGTGAAGTAATTCCACATGGGGTCCCCAGCTGAAGAATAGCTGTCTGAATATGCCGGGGACCCAGAATATACCCCAGGTAACATGTATGGGTCTGTCCCTGGCATTGGCATCTGGCCACCAAAATTTCCAAACTAAAAGAGTGAAAAAAGAGAAGATTATTACTGCAAATATTCCTCACTATTTACTAATGTTAAATTAAAATATTTACTTATAAGCCCAATGAAAAGCTAATATAGAAGTGGTTGCCAAAATTTTCTAAACTTAACTCTCAAAAAGCTTTACTGCAGCATCCTAAATGTCATGCATTTCAAGTCATTATTCATTAACATGTTATATAGCTCATCAAAATAGGTGTTAAAAACAAATATCCTTAATGTCTGAGAATTAATGTAACAGACTGATTATGTCATAATTTTATAATGTATTTATTATCACCATCACTAAAATAAGCAGAAAGGGAAAACATAAAATTGACAAACATACCCCAAGATAGCCTCGGAATATCGGAATATATAGTAACTACACTGAAACTTTGATCTAATTATGGGAAATTATATAGAGCTAAAATACTGTACTCTTCAGAAACTATTTTTAAAAAAGATGATAACAAAAGGATAAAGTGCAAATTCAACAACAATCTCTTTATATCCCAAGTACTATGCTAAGTACTTCTTTTCAATCATGGCATTTGATTTTTGCAACTTGGTGAGATATGAGAGTACAATGTTATATTCATTTGTACAATTTAAAGACCTTAAATTTCAAAAAGTATCCATGGACTCAGATCAAGCAGCTAGCAACAAGTAGACCATATGTACAAATCAAGACACATGACCTCGGAAGCCGCAGAATTACTAGTCATATCCTGTAGCTATGGTTTATTTTTTTAATTCACTTTGAAACACAGTATACATTTTAATTGATCTATTTTTATTTATGGAAAGAAAGAGGCAAAGAGATATGAAGGGATTATTCATTTGCAATAACTTAGAAACTTTACAGTGAATTTCCGGGAGTAAAGCAGAGAAAAATATCAAAATTATTTTTTATTCCATTTTTAATAAAAATCATTTTGTCCTGCTTCCTTGAAGAATGAGCAGAGATTTTCAGAAGGTAAAAGACAGGAAATACAAGTAGCAGAGTTTGAAAAAATAGTACCTATTAAGGAACTAATGAGATATCTTAAAGACAATGGAATGGAGAAAACACTGGAACCCTAGGAAATATACTAAAGAAGGTAAAGAAAACTGGCTTATGAAGTTGTTATGTACAAGAAAGTATACAGAAAACATACAACAGATACACAGAAGTAAAACCCTAAAACAATCTTTGGAAAAGAGATTGATCAGAGCCTGGTGCAGTAGCATAGTGGCTAAATCCTCGCCCTGTATGTGCCAGGATCCCATATGGGTGCTGGTTCATGTCCCAGCGACCTTGCTTCCCAGCCAGTTCCCTGCTTGTGGCCTGGGAAAAGAGTTAAGGACAGCACAAAGCCTTGGGACTCTGCTCCTGCGTGGGAGACCTGGAGGAAGGTCCTGGCTTCTGGCTTCGGATCAGCCCAGCTCTGGCCATTGTGGCCACTTAAGGAGTGAATCAGCGGGCAGCTCTTCCTCTCTTTCTCTTTCCTGCTCTCTGTATATCTGATTTTCCAATTAAAAAAATCTAAAAAAAAAAAAAAAATAGAAAGAGATTAATCATGAAAGGACAGGTAAATTTCAGAAACCAACACAGAACAGGGGAATATAACCACAAATGGAAATTGAAAGTTGTTTCTTAAGTAAGTGTAAACACATATATTTATGTAAACAAATGCTTTACATGCCAAAATATTTGAAATTACAGATAAAATGTAACAAGATTATAAAAATCATGAAAACTAACTTTAGGAAAACTTGTAACATTCTTGTTTCATAAAATAGTATCATCACCTTAAGATTACTAATAGCGACCAACTTGCAGGTCATATTTGTGAATAAATCTAAGTCAGAGGTAAAAGGATTAGCAACATTTCCAATAGTAACAATGAACTTCAGCTCCAAGACCTCTAAGGACTTGGAGACCTTACTCACCTGAAATTTGACACAAAGAGAAAAGCTGAAAAACTTTTTTTTTTTAACAAGAAGCCAGATTAAATATAAGCATACTGATGGAAAGCTAACACACACAATGACTCAAAAGACTATTGTTCAAATACTATCTCCATTTGTTTCTTGAATAAACAAGCTCATTTTGTATCCAGACTCAGAAAAGCAATAATATATGAAGAATCTATCCTTTTGAATAACCTTTTCCTCCTTTCCTACTATTTGCAGTATGAACTCTCCCAAAATTAGTCACTTTAGGGCAGGAAGGGCAGATTCATATGGTGGAATGGAAGCAGAGCCAGGAGCCTGAACTCCATTTCTTTGATGGGAGTTTTGCATGGGAAGCAAGACTCCAGAGCTGGAACCGGTGTGATATGCAATGTTGGACTCTCAATCAGGGGCTTAACCCAGTGTCTCACAGTACCAGCTCCCGGAAGGCCCTCGTTACTTTCAGTCCTTAATTTTCTTTCCAGAATTGTTCAAACTGCTTGTCCACTCTGTAAAGATTAGCTAAAAATTAAGCCATAAAATTTGTAATCCTGGAGAATTCTACACATATAAGCTGTATGAAGTCATAATAGGCTGAAACAAACAAGTGAGAAATTAATCAAATGTTCTTTCTTATTCTTTTCTGGCATTTCTGAGTAACACTTCTAACTCATGAGTACAAGGAAATTATATATAATTTTCTTTATGTCCCCTGCCACCCTCAATGTTCTCTAAATGTTTTATTTCCCTTCCCATACTAGGGTATTCCCATATTTTATGTTGAAAGATAAGGTTTTCATGGTAAGTTTAGATGCAAAGAATGCAAATCCCAACCCATTACCTGTTTTGATATATACAAGTAAAAACTGACATTACTGTTTAGAAAGTATTTTTGTTATCTACACATTAAATGATCTGGTGCTACTATTCTTGCTACTATTCATTTTTGAAAGACATGACAAGATTCCCTTTATACCATTTATATGCTTTCTATTCACCTTTAAACTCATTTTTAAATCCTATTTCTTGCATGCATAGTTCAACCTGTACAATTTATTTGTGGAAGAAATAGAAAGAGTGAGCGAACAAGCAAGAGAGAAGTTCCATTTACTGATTCACTCCCCAAATGTCTGCAACATCAAGAACCGGGCCAGCCAAAGCCAGAGGGTAGATCTCAATCCAGAACTCCCACGTGGATAGAAGGGACCCAAGTACTTGAGACATCCCCCACTTGCCAACGTCGTTATACTAAAATTAATAAAGCATAATTTGTTTTATCTTAAAAGAAACCAAAAAAAAAAGAATGTGTTGTCTTCTACCCACACATCACTTTAAAGATCAAATATTGAAAAGTTTCGATTTCAGAATGCAATGCCAACTTCTAAGTCTCAGAGTTAATGTGGCATAAAGAAATGTGGCACAAGAAGAAAAACAGGGGAGGGAGGACGAGAAAAACTAGAAAAACAGAGTGCCCTTGCCTTATGTGTAAAGGATACAGTGTGTGTCTTAACTGTGCTCATAAGCAACTTAATGAACAGGAAGTGACCAAAACATTTAAAAACAAGATCTCTTGCAAAACGTGTGCAGTGGGGGAGTACCACGAAAGATTACCGGAAGAAGAAAAGGGTGCGCTGCTCCTTCATTTCAGGAAAGAAATTTCTGAAAACAAACATCACTCTCAGTTTCACAGGGTCGCCCCATGTTTGCCCGCAGCTCCAAGCTGCGCTCGCAGTGCCAGTACTGCCTTGTACCCGACACAGGCAAAGAACGTGGGGGGTCGAGGGTGGACTCCACCGACTGGTACCGCCCGCAAGGACACCGGACCCCGCGAAGGCGGAGACAGTGGCGAAGTGGCCAGGACTCACCCCTCCTCCGTATCCCGGGTAAGCCATGACGAGCCAAGCAACGTCAGCCTAAGGGTCGTATTCCGCCCTCCTGAAAGGCTCAGGTGCAGGCGCAGGTGCAGGCGCAGGTGAGGCGCAGGTGAGGCGCAGGTGAGGCTGACAGCAGCTCCAGCCCCGTGACCGGGGGAAGCAGTGCTTCCAGCCCGCCCCTCACGGAGTCCAGCACCTCCCTCTTAGTTTCTAATTGGCTGACATACCGCCCTTCCAGCACAGCCCACCCTTGCTCTGCGCTTATTGGTTCTCTCAAGTTCTCGCCCCTATCCGTAATGCCCTTTTCCACCCTGTAACTTTCCACCCCTCTGAGAATGTTGTCTTAAGGCCATAAATTCCTCATGTCTTTTCTCTACAGCAATCTAAAATCCGTTCATGGATGACACCTTTTAACCTGCTCCCTACTTTTTTGAGCTACTTCAAGTATGCATGTGTGAATTTCAAAAGCTGTCAAGTAACTTGTGATCTGTAGCGTTAACATGAGAAAAAAACTTTCTTAACCAGCATCAAACCTGTACATCCAGCATTAGCTTCAGTACTAAGACCCACTTAATGCCTACGTTTAAGACATTTAAGTTCGTTGTTTGCAGTACAATTTGAAGGGTTTTTTTTTTTTGGAATAAATAATTCTCTTGTATTTTATAGGACATGCATGTAATAATATGCAAGATTTCCTGTGTTATTACGTGGTGACCAGATTTTTGAGCAAACTCTTAAGCCTCCTAATCATATATACAGAGATAAACAACTTTTGTTTTTTATCAGTTGGTTAAAAGCTCAATGAACAATGACTTTGGTTTACTAAGTGAAAGCAATAAACAAGCTTGCTTTTCTCTAGAATTCAAATATACGTTGTGGCTCTGACTACAAGATAGTGTTGTTTCAATTTAAAAACAATAAGAAGATTAGGAGATCGCTTAAAATAATCTCTGAAATAACACAAAAGATAATGTTTCATTAAAAATATACTATTGAGAAAGTATTCATTGCCAGAAGAGAACGTCAACCTGCGGAGGTAACTATTTCTCCACTACAAGGCAGAGGAGAAGCGTGTTAGACCTTGTGAAACAAATCTGCCAGGAAGAGGGAGGGAAAGGAAGGTTGCTAATGTGCAGGCTACTCTTGAGAAACTGTTAGTTCCTCTCACACAGTAACAAATATTGTAATAAAAAAAAAAGCTAAATGGTTTTAAGTAAATAGAGGGAGTGGTAAAACTTACTTGATAGGAAGACCTGTTTGAATATGTATGACTCACCAAGGCACCAAATAACAAGGTATCACTGTTACAAATCTATATTCCAACTAGCCGACTGTATATTCAAAGAAATCCTTACAAAGCATAGAGTGCTTACATTTATAATCCAAATCTGTGGTCAGAATTTTTACACATCTTCTTTTCATCAAAATATCCTGGGATGGACATTTGATCCAGCCATTAAAATACCAGTGGTGATGTGCACACGACAGAGTGCCTGGGTTCTATTCCCACCTCTGGCTCCTGATCCCAGCTTCTTGAGCTGTAGTCATAAAGATTCAAATGATTTGATCCCTACATCCAGGTGGTACTTCTGGATTGAATTTCTGGATCCTGGAAACCTATTTTTGGCATGGGGATACTCCAGTGCTCTTTCACTTGAAAACAAGCAAATAAATAAATAAAAGTTTTAAAATAGGCTAAACGATGTATTATGTATATTGAGAATCAGGTTTCCATAAAATTCTAGGATTTCTGTACATCTAATTTCAAAGATGGCATTTCTTTCTGGGATGCCTTTCGAATAAGTTTACCAGGAGTCCTTTTTAACACTGGCACTTCCTAGATATGGAGCTTGATAACAAACCCACTACAGGCACAACATCTTTCTGATAGCTCCAGTTCACCCAATGGGGCTTTGGAGCAAGGGAAATCTGTAATAGCACGAACCTCATGCTGTCTATTATACTTAGAACAAGGAAATCCTTTGTCTCTAATTCAGGAATCTCATGTCTCTGCCAAATTCTGTGAAACTGTGGCAAGTTAGTTGCTAGCTTGCAAATAGGTCAAACTGGGTCCTTTATCGTTCCGGACAGTGCATTCTTTTATGAGATAACAGCTACCCACAAGAAACAAAGTATTTTGCAAACACATTCATTAGCATCTCTGTCCTTATGGCTGGTACTTCAAGTTACAAATTTCCCAGTGTAAAACATTAAGGAAAACCAGAGATTTATAAATCACTAGCAATGGTAATCAGCCTCATGATGCAGTTAGTATCCAATGAAAGAACTCATTTCATGAACATGCAACATATAACATTTAAATCATATATTCCTATTTTTAGAAAATACTTTATTATTCTATAAAAATACAGCTTGACAATGAATACTTAATAATAGACAGAATATACTATGAGTTGTTACTCCTCAAAACAATCCTATAAGGCATATACTTTTATTATTGCCACTGTACTACTCAATATTTAGCTCCACTGAGGTGGAGAGTTGTATCTCGCGCACCAATGGCTGCATGCACAGTAGCAAAGCCGAGGTTAGAGTGCAGAGAGAATTGCTGCAAATGTAGTCAGTTTAACAATTCATCTCCTTCTCTGACAACCTCCACAACAATCTTTGAAATAGTGTAAAAATTACTTACATAACTAAATGAATAGTTCAGAACGAAGAAAAATTTTAACAGGAAAAAAATAAGAAATGACAAAGAGAATACTTGATTTGAGCAGGATTAGCCAATCTATCATTCTGGGATCTTTTTTTTTAGGTGGGCCTGGGGGGGGGCGGTTATTTGAAAAGCAGATTTACAGAGAGTTACAATGAGTTACAATGAGACTTACAATGAATGCAGCACACCGATTTGTAACCTCAGTAAAGTGACATATTCTAGGCAGAACTCAGAAATATCCATTATGCATTTTAAATTCAGGCTCTATGCTTAGAATCTATGAGGATAACTATAATACACTCAAGAAATAGATTTTCTAAAAAGGTATAAATAAGTTGATTTTTCTGGCACTTAGCACCCTGACTAGTAACTTACTCATGAATGAGATTAGGCAAACTGGAGTAGTCCTTTCCAAAAACAATGAGGAATAGCTTAATCAAAAATATAAAAGTGGCTTCTCCCTGAAAAAATTATAGACTGGCTAAGAGCTACTATTAGGTCACGTCCATACAAACCTTAAAGTGTTTTCTGTATGAGTGAAATAAAACTGGCCCTTCCTTTATTTAAAACATCAATTGGGAATAAGATCTGGTTACAAAAATCTTAAATTGCATATTTATGTGTAATACATGATACTTTTCACATTATTGCATTTTATTTTCATCACAAACTTTAGAAGTAAGTAGGACCAATCACATCTTAGGAAGGAAAAGAGGTAGTAATAAATTGGATTACAATTTTATATAAGAAAATATAGTTGCAAGTTTTTTCTAAAGCAAATTATTCTGACATTTTTCATATTTGGAAAATGACAAGTTATAGCATTCATCTAGTTTTGAATGAATGAAGTCCTATTTTTAGAGCTTTTAAAGTTACTTAAAATCTGAGAACGAAGCCATCAACTGCTAACAGCTTGAGTTATCCAAATATAGAACTGGAAATAAAATGTAAAACAAATAAAAAACTTATACACTTCCTTTTAAGGTTCCTAAGGAAAGGAATTATACTGTGTACCACAACAAATGAGGACTTCTGAGCAGTGACAATGCCAGGTACAATGGATGTGGGTGCAACAAGTCCAGTATGTGCACCACCCAGGCTCCACTCATCTTGGCTGATCTCGGTTACTCATCTTACCTTTCCCTTTAATCACAAAGTTCAATTGCTACAACTACACTATGAAAAATGAAAAGCTGGCAGCACACTCAGACACAATGTTTGAGGGACTTCAATCAAGTCACTGTTTACAAAGCTGTTGATACAGGTGGAATATAGAGCATCCCACACTCAGCTGCAAGGAGCTTCCATTCCTTCTTTAGGCTGAAGATTCAAGCAAAATGCAGTTACTGAAACCTGGAATTGTTCCACAAACAGAGCTTCCAACGTCTACCCCCTAGTAGACAGACACATGAAGATCCAGGTGAAGGGAGGTGAAGGGGTGAATGCCACAACCCCTCTCTTGCCCCCACCTCTAGTCTCCTACCAGGAGTTACATTGATTGAAGCTGATCAGAAATCCTATGAAAAGCAACTCATCCATGAAGTCTGTGAGCTTCAGCCTCCCAGGTCACAGAGACAGTCAGAGGGAGAGTTTTCAACGGAATGTAGAAAATATAAAACACATTAAAAAAAGAGAGAGAGAAATTCAAGAACTTACACTTCCAACGTTGCCCATATTTAACAATCTATAGTTAGACTAAATCCACATAATTGTTTGGTAAGTAAGGCAAAACTCCAAATGGATTGCATAAAGAATATAATTAGGAAGTAGTTTTGTTGAATGGTGAATCTGTATTCAATTAAATACAAATATTTGTGCAACTAGGCTATATGGGAGAAAGAGAGGACCTGCATTTTAATTCAGCCATCTTAATTATGGTAAGAATTGAGCTACTCATTATAAGAGGCACCATAACAACCATCCAATGAGAACAGTGGAATGTGGGGAAGAAACGTTGGAAATTACTTAGCAACAGAATTCTCAGGTTGTGTGTGAATACGGCAGTTACTGGTATCAGAAAGTATAATTACACAAAAAGAAAATACAAAAAGGAAAAAAAAAAGGAAACAAAATAAGCAGGTGCAGAAATACAGGGAAAATTAAAACATGAGAAAGAAGATTAAATCAGGGCCCTGCGCAGTAGCATTGTGGCTAAAGTCCTCGCCTTGCATGCACTGGGATCCCATGTAGGCACTGGTTTGTATTCTGCCTGCTCCACTTTCCATCCAGCTCACTGCTTGTGACTTGGGAAAGCAGTTGAGGATGGCCCAAAACCTTGGGGCCCTGCACCCACGTAGAAGAACTGGAGGAAGCTCCTGGCTCCTAGCTTGGGATCAGCTCAGCTCTGGTTGTTATGGTCACTTGGGCAGTGAACCAGCAGATGAAAGATCTTTGTTTTTCCTTCTCTCAGTAAATCTGACTTTCCAGTAAAAACAAATAAATCTTTAAGAAAAAAAAAAAGGAAAAGGAAAGGAAAAGTCAATGGGGCCAGTACCACGGTGCGCCTGGTTAAGCCGCTGCCTATGATGCCAACACCCTATATCCCAAATGAGCACTGGTACAAGTCCAGCTTCCTGCTGATGTGCCGAGGACAGTGGTGGAAGATGACTGTAAGTACTTGGATGTTGCCTCCTCCATTGGAAGCCAGGAAGAAGCTTCATCTTGGTTTGAGGTAACCTGGAGAATGAACCAGCAGTCTCTAACTCTGCCATTCAAATAAAGAAATAAATCTTTCAAAGGGAGAAAGATCATTGTTTAGGTTACATTTCTTATGTAAAATATCTTCCTGTACATTGTTTTTTTTTTTTAAAGATTTATTTTTATTATTTTTTCATTGGAAAGGCGGATATACAGAGAGGAGAGACAGAGAGGAAGATCTTCCGTCCGATGACTCACTCCCCAAGTGAGCGCAACGGGCCGATACTATGCCGATCCGAAGCCAGGAGCCTCTTCCGGGTCTCCCAGGCGGGTGCAGGTTCCCAAAGCTTTGGGCCGTCCTCGACTGCTTTCCCAGGCCACAGGCAGGGAGCTGGAAGGGAAGCGGGGCTGCCGGGATTAGAACCGGCGCCCATATGTGATCCCGGCCGTGCAAGGTGAGGACCTTTAACCACTTGCGCCACCGCGCCGGGCCCCTGTACATTGTTTTAAAGAAATCTCTCAGGTTTCTCAGAGTAAATGTGAAAATTTAAATGATCATGAACTCAACTTGAATTATTAATTAAGCAAAGCATGTAGTTCCAGGCTTATGAGAGCATTATGGCATTTTAGTTATGTACAAACATGAACTGACATTTAGATCTTTTAACTTTTCTATTGACCCCTTATTGCTACTTATAAAACATCCACATAGAAAACTGTCTATACAGACAATAAAGTAATGCCATTGCCACAATTTGGACAGTTTCTGTTAGGAGCCACAGATTTATGGGCCTTAGACCTGCCCTGCTTGACAGCCTGCTGCATTGCAAAGCCTGCCTTGGGCAAGCAGGGCCACAGCAAGCAGGATGCTATGGCTAGAACATCCTGTGTAAAGCAAGCAGAACAGAACTTCCACCCTTGTTCCTGTTCAAATAATTAGTTCCTCCCACGTTTCAATATAGATGATTAGTTCCAGGAAACCCTTCCCCTATTCCTCCTCCCCTAGAGAAGAAGGTATATATATGAGGAGTTAAATAAAGGGCATTGGCACTCTCTTCCACCAAGTCCGTGTGTCCGTGTGTTTCTTGGACCAGCAGCCCTGGCGGCTAGCAGCCCAGCATTTCCAGTCCACCCTCAGGGTTTGAGCATCGTGTCCTGCAGATTGGGACAAGTTTCCACTGTCCTGCAAGTTGGGACAAGTTTCCACTTTGAGGAACTTCAGTACTGTTCTCCGTAATGGCTGTATTGTATTAATATATATTCTAATCAACAATGTGCAAAGGTCTCCTTTTCACCTTTCTCACGAAAACTTGCGATTTTTCTTTTTGATAGCAGATAATGTTACTGAAGTGAGATAGTGCCTCTCTGTGGTTTTCATTTTTACTTCCATGAAAATCAATGATGTTGAATATTTTTCTTTTTTCTTTTTTTTGGAAGGTAGTTGGCTTTTATTATCACCAGGTACCATAAATTTGAAACAATATCAATGGTTAAAATACTTCTCCTTCAAAGAGTATTTTGTTGGACTATGTTCTAAGCAATTACTGTGGTTATTGCTTAAATACAGAGATGCTGAACAATTAATTACAGTATATATAAGCACTGTGTTCTTTTTTTTGCTGTGATTTTTTTTATTGTTATTAACATTGTATTATGTGATACAGTTTTATAGGCACTGGGGATTCCTCCCACCCCTCATATACCCCTCCCCCCCCCATGGTGGATTCCTCCACCTTGTTGCATAACCACAGTTCAAGTTCAGTTGAGATTCCTTCCTTGCAAGCACATACCTAGCATAAAGTCCAGCGTCTTATTGTCCAGATAAGTTCAGTGGCCTCTTGGGGAGACCTTCTCTGGTCTGAAGATAGGGCTAACAGAGTAAAGTTCCAGCCAGTTAAAAGCCCCAACAAAACCTCAGTATCAATATACAACATTATGGAATTAATTGACATAGTATTGGGTAAACAATATGTTAAAAATAATGCAAGTTCCATTCTTCGAAACATCTGGGTTGAGACAGTATCAATGACAGGTTCAAAATTTTCATATATATCTGTTGACAATTTGTATGTCTTCCTTTGAGAAGGGTCTGCTTAGACCTATTGTCCATTTTTACTGAATCATTTGCTTTTGCTGTTGTTTCAGTTCTTTACACATTCTATTGATTTGCAAAAGCTCATTAATATAATGGAATCCCATTTTTTTCTACTTGTGCTTTTGACATCTGACCTAGAAAATTGTTGCCCGTTGTCATGAAGCCTTTTCCTTATGTTTTCTTCTAACAGTGTGCAGGTTTCAGTTCTCACCGAAAAATATATAATCCATTTTATGTTGAATTTTGTATATGGTAAAAGATATGACTCTTGTTTCATTGTTCTGCATGTGATTTCAACTTTCCCCAGCACCATTAAAAAAAAAAGACTATCCCTTCACCAATATGTGTTCTTAGCACATCTTTAAATGATCAGATGGCTATAAATATAAGGGCTTACTTCTAGGGACTCTATTTTATTCCAATGGTCTATTGATATGCTTTCTTGACAATAGAATGCCTTTTAAATTACTGTGGCTTTGTAAAATGTTTTAAAGTAATGTCGTATCATGCCTCCTATTTTGTTCTTTCTGTTCAAGATCACTTTGTGATTATAAATTATAGTAGTTTTTTTTTTCTGATTCTGTGAAAAACGTAATTGGTCTGTTGATAGAGATTTCACTGAATATGCTTTGAGTAGTATACACATTTTAATGGTATTGACTCTTTCAGTACATGAGTATGACATTCTTTTCCATTATTTGCATCCTCTTTAATTTCCATCATTATTTAGTTTTCAGAAAAGAGACAATTCACTCTTTATGTTAAATTTATTCCCAGGTAATTTTTGTTGCTAATGGAAATGTAATTGCTTTATGGACTTATTTTCCAGTGGATTCAACACTGGTGTGTAACAGTGCTACTGTTTCTTTTTAACTTCATATACTCCTACTTTGCTATAATTATTGATTAGTTCTAATAATGTCTTGGAAGAGTTTTGGGGATTGTCTATATGTAAGGCAATGTTATCGTAAACAGTGACAATTTGACACCTTTTTTAAAATTTTTTTGCAATTTGTATCCCTTTTACCTTTTTTTTTTCTTTTGCCCAACTGCTCTATCTAGGACTCTCAGTATTACTTAATGAAAGTGGGGAAAAGTGGGAGTTCCTGTTTTGTTCCAGATTTTCACTCATTTTACCTATCAGTTTGTTATATATGGTCCTTACTGTACTGAGATATGTTACTTCTGTTCTTAATTTAGTTACATTTTTCACAAAGTTTTTAATGCTATCAGATGTCCTTTCTACATCAATTGAGATGACCATAACGTCATCTGGGGAGACCAGGAGATGGAATGAAAGAGCATAACTTGGAGCTCAAGAATGAGCCTACAAGACTGACACCTGGAACCTGGAATGGACAAAACCTCTGGCTTACCTCTCCCTTCTTGGTACCTACAGAAAGGCCTTTAGACTTGTCCAGAATCAAGCAAGAGACTTGTACTATAGGAAGTCAGACTCATTTTGATGTGTGTCTAGCAAACAGATAGGCTTTGTGACTACCTTGGAGAATTTGTAAACCTGTGACTATGAGGCCTGTCTAAATGGCCATGGACCTTGTCCTCTCCTCCA